AAATTGATGTTACAGGGATTTCAATGACCTTTTCTGTGGGCTTCAACTCGACATCTAGATATATCGACGACGTATTATCAATTAATAACGGTTACTTCCATTCATATGTCGACTCGATTTATCCCAGTGAACTCGAAATAGACACAGAGTCTGCACATATGATTCATATTTGGATGTTTACTGACTATAGACGATAGGGGCCAACTTACAACTGAAAAATGTATGACAAACGATATGACTGCAGCTTTTCCATGGTCAACTTTTCTTATTTATTTAAGGAATGAATTTAATAGCTACCCAATTTATACGGTATAAAGTGGGTTGGGGCAGTTTACGCTTTATAAACCGCGAAGCGTGACGTAGGCAACCCAATTTATACGATATAAAGTAAATTGTTTATCCAATCAAATGGCGCGTTACAATCAGAATTAAATTATATAGTAATATTTCACCGTTGGGTGCATATGGTGATTATGTGACACTTGTTACCTTGACCTTGTTAGCAAATATAACCTAGCATTGGGTTGTATTTTGACTTACATATTTCATGCCAATTTTTAGGCCAATGTTATTTACTTAGGTTGACTAATGATCGAATACTCCGTCTACCTAGTCAAAACATAAGTTCACGGTGGGTGTGGCCGGTGGACAGGGCATGCTTACTCCTTTTAGGCACCTGATCCCACCTTTGGAATTTCCGGAGTTACATGTTTAGTGCTCTGTTCACAGATTTGCATTGTTTGTTTTTTGTTTTTTTTTTTACACATCAATCACTGTTCGTTATTTTTACCTTTTGATTAAGAGATTTGTTGTCTTTCTCTAAGATGTGTGTTTTTTTTTTCCTGCTTAAATTGAATACATACTTATATATATATATATAAATCAACTCAGTAAGTCATTTTTAAAATATATTTTGAAACATTGCAGTCGATATAGAATTGAAATTAATAATGTTATCAGGTTATATAAAATGCTGAACAACAGCTTGGCAAAGTTGACGAATGCCTTGGTGTTTTCCTGGAAGTCAATCATTGATGATCTCGAGATCCAGTTTTAGCACCGAATAAACACCAACTGCCCTAAAGAAAATGACATTTGTAAACAGATCGTAATATTAATGTTATTTTCATTTCTTAGAGTATTCAAATAAAGGTACATACATTCGATTTCATATAGCAGAAAAGACCTTGATTAGGACTTTAGAAGAAAGAAAGAATTTGTTAAACTATATTTGCCAAATCTTTGGGATATTGTTGAAGACTTTCGGGAAATATTGAAGGCTGAAGCATTAATAAAGAATAGAATTTAACCTAGCTGGAATCCGTATATTAAGTCTTATTCTGCACTAAGTTCACAAACAGTGACGTGTGGGTATTAAAGAAAATATTCACAACGCGAGAATTTAAAATTCAAGTTGCAAACCAAACACTTACTACACGTACTTTTTATCTTTGATTAACATACCTACTACGTAAAGTATGCTGATTTCACATACAAGTTCAAATTTATCAATAAGTTGAGATTAGTGCAAAGCATGAAATTCGTTGCAAAGAATTAAACCTTTTAAAGTATTTTTCACAATAATGAGTCCAAGGAAAGCACAAAATTTGCGAAGAAGAGAAAGTATTATTACCTTTATTTTAAATTCGCATACAGAGCTAAAAAGAAAAATACAGGCATTGCAAGATACCCAGGAGTGGTACGTACTACAATTTCTTTAATTTTTAGTGCATTCCCTATTCAAGATAAATTAATTTCGTTGATACGAAATCAAAGATGAATTATAAGACACGAACTGTTTTTGTTGAGCGATGATGGTGATGATTGCTGCACGGCGCGGTGATGGGCAACACAATAAATGCAAAGAATAGAAGAAAAAACCATTGTGTCATTCGCAGCTGTAGCATAAACAGATTGAACGAGTTCTTCCAACTCTTATTTATCACTTTTGGCATAGTATTCATTGACCTCATAACGATTTAATTTCATGTCTTAAACGCTCCCATGTCTGGGGTACCTCTTGTTAATCCTTTTATAAAATCACAAATTAATCATCAATAAAAAAAACATGAAAATAAAAATGAAAGATAAAAACAATTAGTTCTTAAAAATAAAGTTTTAAATAAATTTCACTCATATTTTTAATACATGTCTTGGAATTATTCCACCGAACCAATAAAAACAATGTCTCATTTCTCCATGCGCATTTTCTAACAAAACCACAAACAAATCAACTGACCCTGCGGCTGATAATAAGGTTTTAATATCTAAATCAAGAAATTGTTTATCACATTTACTTTTCACAGGAAGACTACTTTTAAATCACTAATTTTCGTGGGAGCTTAATTTTCCATTTTTTTCATGATTTGTGAAGACCCTCAAATTCAGGTTTTCCAAGAAATTTTAAAATTTCAAATCACAGTAACATTTTTACTTCTTCAATAAAGAGTTCGATTCCCCATGAATCAATAGATATTAAAAATGTTTTTATCTGTCAAAATAATATTGATTTTATGGGTTTACAGGTATAATAATATTTCTTAAATAATTTTCATTTAAGAGTTAAAAAAAAAATCAAACATGAAAAATTCTCTTCTCTCCAATAACAAATACGAAGTTTCAAAAACGATTTAAAGTATTTTAAAGAAGCTAGAATTTATGTTCGCTTATTTTGATTACAAAACCGTTCTGAAAGAGAGATGGAAAGGAGGTTAACACAGCAACAGAATCTATATGATTTGGAGTCCATTGGTCTGCAATTGGTAAAAAGTTCTAGAAACTTTTAACTGACATGTCAGAAGAAACCGGAATAATGCCGAAGGTGAGAAAACGTAAATCTAACAGGTGAAGATGACGAACAGTGATCTATCTAATAAATCCAGTAAACAAATCTGTAAACAGGGCAAAAGCACTGACACTTGGAAACACCAGAGGTGGGATTAGGTGCCCAAGAGGAGTAGGTATCCCCTGTCGACCGACCACACCCGTCGTGAGCCCTGTGCATTGATCAAATAGTAGTCAAATTTAGTATAAAAGCAATAACCTAACAAATGGTATTAAACATGTCAGACAAAACACAACCCAAAAATGAGCTGTATTTACAAACAAAGTCATTATAACGACCGTAGAATTTGCAAAAAGCTGACCTAAATCGGGGTTTTTGAAATCCTTGTGATATCAACTTATTTGTCAGTAGTTTGCCTCGTGGTTTAAATATTGAGCGTACTCAAAGCATGCACTTGAGTGTCGAATCAATTTTGAAACATAAACACTATATGCAGGTGATATCGATGTTGGAATATTACTACATAAATAAAGAGAAGTTGACGATAGAAAAGCTGAAATTCATCCCGTTTGTCATACAATTTAGTTACTGACTATTATAATCTATAGTTAGTAAAACATCCATATGAAACAGATGTGGCAGACTCTGTGGTTTCTTTTTATTTCGACTTCACTTAGCTGCAGATCTGTATTTCGCTGGTCTGAAAACTTCCACAAGACAACAACGAGCTACAAATCTGCAACTAGAGATCACAGGGATATAGCGAGTCGACATTTGAATGAAAGTAACGATTGTTCATTGATAAAATGTCGTCGACATATCTAAATGTTGTGTTGAGGGCCACAGCGAGAGTCCTCTTTTTGTTTCGAGGTTTTTGAATAAATTCTACTTTATAGGAATACAAAAAACAGGTAGGCTTATAAAGGAGCTCAATTTGTGCCCATCGAAATTCCAACAAATTGATGAAGACCTGGTCTCCAAAGACTACAGAGATATTGTGAATGAGGAACTCTATCAGCTTTTTAATATTAGCTTCAGAGTATATTATATGTAGAATCAGAAGGATTTTGTAGATGACCAATCACAAGATATAAAAACTTGCGAGTTCCATTTTCATTGAGAAAGCAGCTGTCTATAATGTCAAAAAGCCAAGGTTAAAATTAGACTTTCCAACTGTAAAGTATTGAATTTACCTACTTTTAAGTTAGAATTTAAGGAGAGAGAAAATCCAGCGTGGCAGAAATATTCCATAATTTCGTCCTTCATAGTTTTGGTATTAAATACTGATACTTAAAGTGTTTCAAAATTCAAATTATATATTTAAAAAAAAAACATTCTTCAAAAAAACAAAACAAAAGGAGGATTGTTATTCACATGGGAAAAAATGAAATAAAAATAAATAAATAAATAAATAAAAATAAATTTAAAAAAAAATAGCAAAATGGCACCAGAAAATGACCATTGGGTATCTAGTACTTTCTTCCCCCCTCCCTTCCCTCCCCTTCACACTTCATGATTTTGAAACAAAACACAAGACATCAGATGCAAAGTACACTTGTTACCAAAAAGTTTTGCAATTTAAGAAATTCAAAACTACTAGTATCTATAACAATCTAGATTGCTATACATAGTTTTGAATTTCTTAAATTGCAAAACTTTAACTTAACACACTCATTATTTTTTTCTGTAGCAAGTATTTTCTTACTGTGAAATATGCATTTCCTAAACAGCTAAATTGTAAAGTTATTTACCCGTTAATAGTTCGATTCGAAAGACTATAGTTAATCATTTGAAGTATAGTTAGGACTTGTTTCCAACAGTCCTAGCACCTCTAAAGGTTTCTTGATGGTTTAATTTTTATTTATAATTCCTAATAAGGACAATCTCTACTAAACTAATGTCAAAATTGCTTAGTCAAACAGATGGTGTTTGCCACCGAATGACCTTTAACGCCAAGGATTAGCACGAACATTTTCTATTACTTAATAAGGCAATTTCTCACACTGTGCAGAAAATAAACAGGTCTTTCTATTTATATCTGTATGACAGTCATCGTGCCTTTAAGCCAAATGTAAACATTGTGTATAGGGACACATGAATGTATAGGTAAAAATTGAGAACACTGACCCTTTAAGTTCAGACGAAAGCTTTTTTACATATATGTAATATCTATTTAAGATTTCACAGTGCATGAATTTTGCATAAAACGAACCTTTTATTCCGTTCAATGACAGACGGTCTATTAAAACTAGCTCGGATTATTTCTAGTTAAGAGATCCAGACACCAGTTTATTTTATAAATAGCCAAACGGACTGGACAAACATGGACATTTGGGGTTTGGTGGAAATAAACAACTGGATATTAACGCTTGTCTTGCTGTGCATTTCAGCTTTTCTGTAAGTTTCACAGCTTCAAGTATAATTTAATTTTTTTTATTCAGAGATGCATTTCGTCACAATGATTCATTTTGTATATAAAATCCTACACAAATCTGTACCCTAGGAACTGGTCTCAGATATATGATAGGGTAATACATTCACGGCTTCATAAGGCTTGAATTTAAATGCGTTTTGATGGGACTTTTTTTTTAACAATCGAAACATCCTCAGCATTTTATGCAGGAACACTTTGGGTGAAAATGTGCGAAATACCAGAAAAAACGGCGATAAACGTGAATAACATGACCTCGTAACAAAAATAAATTTAAATTTTGCATCAGAATAGTTTATTTCATCAATATGTCGAGAATTAAATGCTACGCAAGAATATGTCGATAGATCAAGAATTCAATACGATAAGAATTATATTGATCATATTCGTTCAAGAACATGAACTCGCTCCTATGTAAAACAAGTATTTGAGCGGATTGAAGATCTAATATAATTAGATTGGTCAATAATTCTAATACAATGTATGTAAATTGGGTCATATTGAAATAGAGAGAGGGTCATATGTTATGACACCTTGTATCCAAATTGAAGTGGTTTTGTCGGGTATTTCGCACATGTTATTCTAGATATTATACAATTATTGCTGTTTTTGAGGGTAATGCGATGATTTAGACACCTGAGGATAACAATATTTACCAAGCCCGAAGGGCAAGGTGCTTAAATCATAGCTTTTACCAAAAATCAATAATTGCTTTATTATATGATTCAATGATTAAGCAAACCATGTCATATTAATTGTTCACATTTGTTGAAGTCCCCGCCAAACATAATGAGAGAAAGATGACAAACAGGGTTAAAATAAATATAACCACTTGTATTAATTTGGAATGTTTAAATCTTCTATAGGTGTAATGCAGAAAAAATAAATGTCAGACATGTATATAGGATCAATTTAAAAAAGGACTGGGCATTATATGGAAATAAATTGACAACTTACCTTAAAAATCTTCGACTAGCCCCCCCCCCCCTCCCCCTCAAAAGGGGGAGAATTCTCCCAACTCAAAAGCTTATTGGGGGAAGGTTAAGGTCTGTTAACGGGGGTACCAGCCTTTCAAAGAACATTTTTTTAATTAATTAAAAGTAATAATTTAAGTTCACAAAAAAATTGTGGGGAGTACACCCCCCCCCCCCCGACAAACCCAGCCCTAAACCTAGATTCTGTGTGCCTGAATGTTATGTTCACCTGAGTAGAAATTGGGTGCAAATGAAATAACTTTCCAAAACTAATTGTATCAATTTAGAATTTTCCTATCTATTTTTAGTTCAATGTAGAAAAATAAATCCTTATGTTCACCTGGAAAGTCACGTGCAGGTGAACATAGCGTAGTACCTTTTCTACAATGTTGGATCCCAGCCAAACAGAGAGATGGGAATTATTTAATCATATAATAAATGTTTGATATTTTAAATATATAAATATCGAATCGCACAACCTGTGTATTGTCATGGTTGGTGTCTGGAAATACTTTTTTAAGGACTGGGGGCATGAAACATTAAATGCCAGTATAAGACCGTGGAACTCCAACTAATGCAAACATAGGATTGAAATTATTTAGTTTTGGAAGTGAATATTAGTCCACTTAATTGCTATTCGCAGATGCATATAATACAGCATACAATTAGTTGCGATTGAAATTCAGAGAGATTTTAAAGAATTAAATATATGAGTTTCGCATGTTTTTATTTAAAAACATGCTGTAAAAAAATTCAGATCTGATTTGATTTCCAACCATTTGAAAATTTAAATTAATCTATTGATCTTCTGAATCAATCAATAAAATTCGATGTGGGAAAATAGCTAGATAGGTAGGATTGAAAATAAACTTATAGAAACTAGAATTCCAATCAAATATGTTTTCATGGAGGTCATGCAGCGCTATATTGCCAACTTAAAGCTGAACAAGACTCGTAAATAGGCATACCCATATTAGTTTTCCTACCTCCAATATCAACACTAGGGTATATCCTTCACATTCGTTACACCTGAATGCTTTCTTGTCATGGATATCTGCGTGGAATACAGGTGTTCGTTTTGGCTATCTTACATTTACCTTTGTTTACATTTCCTCGCAGTTTATGTGTATTTGTGTTTGTTTGTACTGCACTGACCTGTGCAAATGATATAAGTTTCTTAGTAACTTTCTCTTCTGCTAAAAAAAAAGAAGCACACAGTTACTTTTGTTGCTACCAAGAGTTTTACAATAGCTATGTAGAATACTCGGGTGAAACTGATTACACTGAACGGAGACCAAGTGAACGGCTTAAATAGGGGCGTACAGATAACGAAATATGCAGAGGAATCTCTGTCTTTTACGAGTCGTGTTCAGCTTTAAGGTGCATATTGCCAATTCCCCCGGGTTTATAGTCTCTGCATGAAATTTTTATCACTGCATTTTCAAATTTCTACTGAAAATTGAATGTCTTCATCTTTGCAAGCAAAGGATTTTCAGTTCGCTATGCTCCCCACAAATCTTTGGCAAATTACGTCACTAAACTTGTACCCAATACTTCATTCGTTCTAAACTAGACCCCTGGAACCAATGAAAAGATAGTTCACATGTGAGTTAAGGCTAGGTATAGGCGTTTCTATGCAAATGAGCTAATAAAAACGCATACGAGGTATACTTATTATCCAGAGAAAGTGTTGATTCATTTCCTTATGCATACTTAGTACCCACGATATGTTATAGAAAGTACACATTATGACGTCATATTATGACGTCACTGATCTTACCTACTGGAGGTAATAAAACGCATCAACAAAACAGCTTCGGCGCAAGGAATTACCCTATTTATTTTTACATACAAATTTTATAATGCTTAGAAGAATATTCTATAGGTTAATAAAAGTGCTGCACAAATCCTAGGCATTTTCTCATTTGATCGTAATTTGAGGAAACTTATACCGGACTGTACATTTTTACCCTTATTCAACATAAAACTTTACAAATAGAAATCATACAACTGAGCTGTTGATATTTGTGCAGCAGTACTAGCAAACTTTGAAATATTTTGCTTCTAATTATACCTTGTTTCAGTTAAATAAAACAGAGCATGCCCTTGCGCCGAAGCATTTTTGTTGATATCCATTATAATCTTGTGTAGTAAAGAACAATGACGTCATAATATGACGTCATAATGTGTACTGGCTATCTCAAGTCGTGGGTACCAAAGATGTATTAGACGATGTTTTAGCTTTCTCTATATAATAGATATAGGCCTTATGCATTTTAATTAGATTATTTGCATAGAAATACCTATACCCAGCCTTAACTCACCTGCGTTGTCATTTCGCATTACATCTAGTATATCAATTCAATTTATTTACACCACCATGATAAATCAAATTACAATAATTAGTGTATAAATGTAATAGTATATAGAAGATTTTTAATTTCCAGTTCCTGTACCAACTTATCATATACATCATATAAATCCTCACTTCACCTCTTTACTCGTCTTTTGATAAACCTTTTATTAATTTTTGTAGTTCTGTTACGTGTTTACAATGAATACAGGGATGCAATATGAAAGCTGTTACCTGATTGGTTGGAATCTAGAGTTAAAATTTAGTACACCGAGAAAATGTTAATATTATCCACATTTTAAAGTGGCATGATCTGTCGAGGATTTGATTTTGAGCAAAGCCGCGAGCACCCTTGGCTTGCAGAGATGACCCTTCTTATGCCCCACTCGCTGTTGGCTTTCATAAAGAAAAAAATCGAACATAAAATTAATGCACTTGAGCATGTATAAGTAGTTTAAGCTCAACTGAGCTGATCGCTCAAGTGAGTTTTTCTGATCGAAGTTTGACCATCGTCCGTCTGTCTGTCTGTTTGCTAACTTTTTACATATTCGACGTCTCCTCCAGAATCACTGAGGCAATTTCAACCAATATTGGCATAGAGCATCATTGGGTAAAGATTTTTTTTTGAATAACAGACCATGTCAAGGGGAGATAATTTAATCAGAAATTTAAAAGACTAATTTAGGATTGGGCCATTTGAAAATCTTTTCAAGAACCACTGAATCAGAAAACATACAACTTAAGTGAAAGCTTCCTGATAAAATATATATTTAGATTTCTTCAACACCCCCCCCCCCCCCCCCCCCCCCCGGGTAGGATGGGACCACAGTGGTGATCAGACTTTTACATGGACATATTAAGGGGAAAATCTTTTAAAATCTTCATCTTCAGAATGTATCAACAACATGACGACCATGATTAGTCAAATTAAGAGGGCTGGAGGGGTTGTGGCCATTTTCAGACTATATTGATCTCCTTTAGAAGAAGAGCTCCATATAAAGATATACAAAAATGATCAAATTTTAAAACAAAAAGGTATGAAATTTTTCTTTGCCAAATGATAGTTGACAGCTTAAGATATCATATCTAAAAAAATAAGTTATATCTGATGGTTAATTTGTTGACCCCCCAGCCTCCTTAAAATTCAAACCCGGGTTTATGTTTATGGCCAGAATAAATGGTTAAAGTTTTACATGTGAATGTATAAGAAAAAAATCTTTATAATTCTCAATAACAGCACGTACCTGATTAGTAAGGTGAGCGTTTTGGCCCATTGGCCTTTTGTTTCAATAATTGATTGTAAAGGTACATCTACATACTTCTGTAGGGATAAACTATCAAAATGTTGACAGTATAATTTCATTTCACTGTAACACATTATGAGAGATGGTTATTGAATACATAAATCATAGGTGTTTTAAAATAAATGATGTAGAATACGTATGTTTACTTTTCTGTTGTTTTTCTTTTTGCTTTGTGTGTTTATTTTCAATATAAGTACCTCTCAATCAGCTGGTAACTTTGTTCAGATATTATCAAATATCGAAATAGTTCGTGAATCAATTATTAGAAATTGGTCATATTATCTCATATTCCTCTGTTATATAGTACTTTTGATTGCGTAAAATTACACCTTCATCAAAATTCAATCGAATGTTTTAAATGAGCCGTCAAAAATTAAATAAATAAATATGTTAAACCACTTGGTGAGATGTTGGACCAGTCGGTTAGATGAAATATGAAGATAACGAACAGTATTCAATCTCGAAAGTCCAACGAAACGATACACATTTAGAGCAGAGCAAACACGGACCTCAAAATTTAGAGGTGGGATCGGGTGCCATGGAGGAGTGAGCATCCCCTGCCGACCGGCCACACCAGCCGTGCGCTCCCTGTCATGATCGGGGAAAAACCGGAAAAATCCGTAGACAGTTCAGTGTATAAGTAATGGCCTAAAACTAGATGTACCACTTAATTTGCATTGTTCATACCCCCAGCTTAAATCAGGCGGGATTATCCGACACAAATAAACAAGCTATATCTAATTTCTTTTCAGTGTCTTCCAACAGTTTCGTAAATTGTATAACAAAACATTTATTGACTGGGTATTCTTTACCAACTGTTGCCTTAGCCTAACAACCTCAGGAAAACAGCTTTATTCCCGGATCCGACAACTCACACATTGCCCTCGAAACCAGTCAATAAATGTATATTGTTTAAGGTCTTTAAATTTACAATGAAAGAATTCGAGGTAAGTAATGCAGCTGGATAAAATTAATGACATAATGGTTCTTTAATTATAGATACTCCCGATGGAAGCACAGTTTATTTAAACAGTATGGAATTCCTGGCCCTTCACCCACCCCGTTTTTCGGCGTCGCTCTCAAATATAACCGAAAGGTAAGATTTACTAGGGAGCATTGACCACGAAATGCAAAGATGCATCATTAACTAATTTTAGTGGGAACAACGCAAGGGCGTGAGAAAGGGAAGTTGCGAAGAGAAGGGAGCTAGGTGAAGTATACAGTGAAGGGGCATTGTCCTTGGATTGTTCCTACCTATCGCATTCCAATGTCGCTCTTTGTATCTCTCGCTGTCACCCTCGCCTTTTTAGCTCACCTGAGCTGAAAGCTCAAGTGAGCTTTTCTGATCACCCGTTGTCCGTCGTCCGTCCGTCTGTCCGTCCGTCTGTAAACTTTTCACATTTTCAACTTCTTCTCAAGAAGCACTGGGCCAATTTTAACCAAACTTAGTACAAAGTATCCTTGGGTAAAGGGGAGTGTAAATTGTTAAAATAAAGGGCCAAGTCTCCTTACAAGGGGAGATAATCAAGAAAAGACAAAAATAGGGTGGGGTCATTAAAAAATCTTCTTCTCAAGAACCACTGGGCCAGAAAAGCTGAAACTTCTGTGGAAGCATCCTGGGATAGTGTAAATTCTAAATTGTGAAAATCATGACCCCCGGGGGTAGGGCGGGGCCACAATAGGGAATCCAAGTTTTACATTGAAATATATAAGAAAAATCTTTAAAAATCTTTTTCTCAAGAACCACTGGGCCAGAAAAGCTGAAACTTATATGGAATCATCCTGGGGTAGTTTAGAATCTAAATTATTCAAATCATGACCCCCGGGGGTAGGGCGGGGCCACAATAGGGAATCCAAGTTTTACATTGAAATATATAGGAAAAATCTTAAAAAAATCTTCTTCTCAAGAACCACTGGGCCAGAAATACTGAAACTTATATGGAAGCATCCTGGGGTAGTTTAGATTCTAAATTGCTCAAATCATGACCCCCGGGGATAGGGCGGGCCACAATAGGGAATCCAAGTTTTACATTGAAATATATAAGAAAAATCTTTAAAAATCTTCTCCTCAAGAACCACTGGGCCAGAAAAGCTGAAACTTATATGGAAGCATATTGGGGTAGGGTAGAATCTAAATTGTTCAAATCATAACCCCCGGGGGTAGGGCGGGGCCACAATAGGGAATCCAAGTTTTACATTGAAATATATAGGAAAAATCTTAAAAAATCTTCTTCTCAAGAACCACTGGGCCAGAAATACTGAAACTTATATGGAAGCATCCTGGGGTAGTTTAGATTCTAAATTGCTCAAATCATAACCCCCCGGGTGTAGGGCAGGGCCACAATAGGGAATCCAAGTTTTACATTGAAATATATAGGAAAAATCTTAAAAAATCTTCTTCTCAAGAACCACTGGGCCAGAAATACTGAAACTTATATGGAAGTATCCTGGGGTAGTGTAGATTATAAATTGTTCAAATCATGACCCCCGGGGGTAGGGCGGGGCCACAATAGGTATATTAAAAGGGGGGAAATCTGGTAAAGAACAGCATGGCCAAAGTTACTCAGATGAGCGATGTGGCCCATGGGCCTCTTGTTTCCTTATGTTGTCAACCATTTTGATTTTCAGCCTAAGAGGGAAGGAGTGTGTAAACTGTTTCGAGTATACCTTAGATTAATTTCATATTAGTTGAAATATCGCTCTCTTCAGTTGAATAAATGCACACAAAAAAGTTTTTTTTTTCAATTCCGATTTATTCTTATGAAAAACCTATCCCCATGGGCCACGATTTAAACAAATATGATTCTGCACTCCATTGAGATACTTGCACATTAATATGACTACTATGGCTGGAGGGTTCATTCGAAGAGGTTTTATATTTTTTTTCAGATACATTTCCATGTTCTTGTTTGATCACATAGTATCTGCTCTAATTGAGGATACTTGCATATATAGTAATAAGAATGGATCAGGAGTCCTTTAGATGTTTACCTTTAGTTTCCTATGTAAACTTGTATCCCCTGTTGTAGCCTCATCCTAACCCCCGAAGCATCGATGCAAAAAACTTGAATATGAAGATCATACAATCATGTTAATTTATCATGACCCTATATTCTTTTTAGACTTTTTCCTAAATATCCCCATGTAAATATTTGATTTCTAGTGTGGCCTACTCTGCCCCTCCCCCTTTCGGGGTCTTAGTTTAAACAAACTTGACTATTTTAAATTTGAACAATTTTTTGTACAGAAAAAAGCGAATAGGACGCAGACTGTTTGCCCTCTCCCTATGACTATGCATCATATAAATTTACATGTTAAGGTTTTCAAAAAACCGATGAAATCTGATTAATAATTTAATTCATTTCTTTTAAAACACACCAGAAGAAAAGAATAAAATCTTAATAATGACAGTCAGAAAAGGAGTCGGTTGTGCAAATTCTCTGCACATGATTCGTCTTGCATAATTTCCAAAATTTCTTAAATAAGTGATTTCTCAATTTTATATCTGATAATTTTATCATCATCTTGTATTTTCTCTATGTTGTTTTACACAATGTGAGAATAAATTGAATTGAATTTTTGTAGAAGATTTAAATTAAGACAGTTTTTTGTATGTAAAATTACACTTTTAAATAGTAATGATAAATTCTGCAAATTTAAATTGTCAGTCACGTGCACAGATTCTACAAGGACAAGGTATGGTAACGGCCGAATCTGGCCCCTTATTTGATGTATAAATTAAAACACAGTTAAAATAGGGATAGTTTGTAGTTAAGAACTTAAAATGGTGCTTGTTTTAAAACCAGCACTTATTTTGATTCAAAGCTTACACGGAGGCCACAAGAGGGTGCAGAAGTAGGACATTTTCCCGAATTTCCTCAATTCTGGTGAAATTTCATCAAAGTTTGAGATACTTTTCGCTGCCGTAAACATAGAGCACAAGCTTGCCTATCTGAGATTTTTATTTATAAGATGCATCCGATACTAGTGTATGAAATATATAAATTTGGTAGATAGGCAAGTTTGTGCTCTATGTTTTCTGAAACAAACTGTTCTGTAAAATCGATGAAAATTTGCATAAAAATGAGAAAATTCGGAAATTGACATATTTTCTGACCTTCGTGTGACTTCTGTGTATCCCATAACTTAGAACCAATACTCATTTTGTGGCAGGGGTGACAACAGGTTTTTATTGATAAACTGTTGTATCATTCTAAAAGAAACCCCAAATCAGGGGCCAAAAAGGGATCTAAGCCTATCTTGTCCTTTCTCATTTCTGAGTATGTCTCCATATTGTTGTGCCCGTCTTCCATAAAGTCTTTGTTAAATAAATATTTCCATCGTACAATTTATAAAATATGATATGAGATATTACCATTTTTTTTTAAATCTTAATTTTTAGGGTTTGGCAGTCACAGACCAGGAAATGGTTAAGAAGTACGGTAGTGTAGTCGGGTGAGTATCCTGACCCGAGTAGCATCTCTCTCTCTCTCTCTCTTGTTTTCATTCTAAAGAGGGTACTTTTGACCCCCCCCCCAAAAAAAAAATCGACAATTTTTCATTCATTGCGTCATTTGTTATCTTAAATGCTTTAAACAATTTATTTTGTGGTCAATTATTTACTTGAAAAACCATACATTGTATCGGATATTAGTTTTTGAATTGTTGTTGATTAGCTCGTGATCAAATTTTTTTTTGTGATGTTTCAAAAACGCATATACATGCATGTACATATAACTCTATAAAAATTGAAAAGCTATAAAAAGCAATGCATGATTATGGGTAGACAATCTTCATATCTTTCCTTGAAGCTAATTTTTCTAAACAATTTGAATAGATTATCCATGTAAAAAGCTTATTTCTTTTAGATTATACATGGGACACTTACCCCTGATTCTGGTGTCAAATCCAGACACAATTAAAGAAATAATGATTAAGGACTTCTCGAGAACTCCAAACAGACCAGTAAGTGTGCCGATCTAATATTATAGAATGGGTGTATACTATCTATTCCCACGTTTGGAAAATCAGGTAGAGAAGGGTAAAATTCTATGTGGGGATAGGTGGAATATTTGTGTATACAAATAATTAATTGTATAAACATATAATTACTGTATAAACAGTGATTAATTAACTCCCGTTGCAATGGAGGACAGGTGAATTGACTTTTTGATTGTTAATCTCATTTTAACTAATATTTGAAAGAAAAGCAATTAATTTATATCAGTTACTTATTGGAAAATCACAATGCTTAAGCCCTTATTATGTAGGACAAATTCTATGTATGGAACACAGATTATAGATAAAAGCACTAAATCCATATTAAAATGCACCTTTATTATATATTGCAGTGCATTAAATCATATTTTTTTTCTAACACCTATTTATTTTGTTTTAATTTTTTTTAATTTATTAATTTTACTACCTTGAACTGTACAAAATGCAGGTAAATCAAGGAGGGATGTGATTAACTTTAAGTGTTATAAAAACAAGATGTGTTTGTGAAACACTGATGCCCCCGTATGGCAACTTATAGCAAAGGTTAAGCTTTCTCAAATGCAAATCAAATATGTTGGTACCCAAAATAAAGTCTTGTCTCAAGGAATATACCTGTGAAATATGAAAGTTCTAGCAGCTACCATTGAATAGATATGGAAAAGGTTAAAGTTTTTCAAAAGTATGTCAAACATCAAGGTGAAATATATGGAGATAACGAACAGTATTCAAGTTCAAAAGTACATAAAACAATACAAAATAGGAGCAGAGCAAACACGGACCTCCAAACATCAGAGGTGGAATCAGGTGCCATGGAGGAGTGAGCATCCCCTGCCGACCGGTCACACCCGCCGTGTGCTCCTTGTCATGATCGGGAAATAACGGAAAAATCCGTCGACAATTCAGTGTGTAAATAATGGCTTAACAATTAGTATGAAAAACGTCAGTCAGCATTTGACTCAATGATAAATTGTATTTGCTGACAAGGTCATGGTATCGACCATAGAACTTACGAAATGATGACTTTAAACGAGACAGCTGATATTCTTGTCTCATCAACTTATTTGTCAATAATTTACCTCGTTTTAGAAATTGTACATACCTAGAGCATGCTCTTGCGTCAAAAGGTCAAATGGTCAAAATTAATGGTGCCCAAGGAAAGGCCTTCTCACAAGAAATATACAGGTGAAATATGAAAGCCGAAGCACCAATCGTTCAAAAGTTATGACCAAGGTTAAAGTTTTTCAAAATTAGGTCAAACTTCAAGGTCAAGGTCAATGGATTACAATTGTTGGTATCCAAAGGAAGGTCTTGTCACAAGAATTACATATGTGAAGTATGAAAGCCCTAGCACCCATGGTTCAAAAGTTATGGCCAAGGTTAAAGTTTTCAAAAAGTAGGTCAAACTCCAAGGTCAAATATGGTGGTACCCAAAGAAAGGTCTTGTCACAAGGAATACACATGTGAAATATGAAAGCCATAGCTCCAATCAATCAAAAGTTATGGGCAATGTTAAAGTTTTTGCGGACAAACAGACAGACAGACAGACAGACGGACGGACAGGGCAAAAGCTATATACCCCCGAATCTTCGATACGGGGGCATAAAAATTGACCATGAAAACATCTATTGTCATTTGCAAATGGGAATAGATGGAATTGAGATTTATAAAAAAGAGGGAATAGGTGGAATTGATATCTATAAAAAGTGGAAATAGGTGGAAGGCACCAGCACATGTTCATTGGCAGTCACTAGACATTACGATCTGTGCGATATACAATTTGATTCCACCGTATATGTTTTATATTTAACAGAGTATATTCGGTTTCTTTGTCTATATTTAGATTCATGCTAAAAGGGGGTAACTATTTTTCATGGAAGTGTGTAAAATAAGCATTGTAGTATAGCCACTAACGATATAAAATCCACTAATGATACAGTCTAGCACTTTGGATAACTTTGTTTCCACTAACGAGACAACTGTATCATATATCAACAGCCGTGTTATTAATGATTCAGATACAACATCCACTTATTAAACAAATCTTGAGTGTCAATTAAAGGGGCTTGTACACGAATTTGAAGTCAATAATTTCCCAAATTTTCTTTAGAATAACATGATTTACATGTTTCTTGAGCATTTCAGACCTTAATATTACAAAAGCGCATTTAAAATACATTTCGTATGTGAGATTTTTAAAAGCTACGAATTCTAGGACGCGTTTGATTGCCACACATCCTCGTACTTTCACTAAGTTTAATCTTTTCTTATTATTGAAGAAAAGAAGAAAATTTGCCATGTATGTATGAAAAATAATAAAACTTTAATATAGAAAACTCAGAGTAGAAATGTTAGAAAGAAAAAGAAGCTCAATAACTTTGATAGTTTGTGTTCTGTGAAGTGTGCTGAGTAAGCATATTGAAAACACCCGGTAAAAATGAAAACATTAACAATAACAGATCTCGTCCCCATAAAAATATTGTCATTGAATTTTAAGAATGTGCATATAAGTTCAATTCATTAAAATGAAGTATAAGAGAAGACATTTGAAATTTTATGCAAAAACAGCAATGCAGCTGTGTCAAGGACCCTTCAAGGTTCAACATCACTATGTTCATTAGTATAAATGAAATCATTATGGAATGCATATAATTTCATTATACACCGTAGGGCAAAATTTTAAAAAATGGCATTTCAACTTGAAAATTTTATAACTTTAAAGAATAACAGTTACTTGTTCCAGTGAGAGTAATGTCTCTTATTAGAGGGTCAGTAAGAGTTATCACTCTTATCAGAGGGTCAATGAGAGTTATGTCTCTTATCAGAGGGTCAGTATACCACCTTAAAATATTATTAATAAGTGTTTCAACTCTGTTGTTGTTCAGTTTATCTGAAAGACGTTTCTTTCTAGTACTTATACAAAAACATTGTTAAGTACCTTTCAAGTTCTGACGATATCTTACTTCTATCTAAAAATCCATCTGATCAGAATAATTTTCTCTATCAACAGAAGACGTTTGTTCAAAGAAATGAGATGAAGCACAGTCTGATAAATACGGACAATGACCACTGGCGATTTCTTCGGAATACCCTTCTTCCCACTTTTTCTTCAGGCAAAATGAGAATGGTAAGTTGTCTTTATATATTCATATACTCATTTTTTCCCTGAACTTAAAAGGAAAAATACGTTCATATGATGAGTGGACATGTGAATTGAAAACAATTAATCCCAATTTAATACTAGGTGGGCAAGGAAAGGATATACTTCCTCCCACTATATGAATATAGACTTCCGAAGATATTCTACTATTTTTCATAGACTACATTTATAAAAATTATTTACAATGGATTCTTAAATTTAAACACTCCTCCACTATTTTTAAAGAAGTCTTTTGCTGTTAATTATTTTATTTATGAAAATTTTCATTCAATGGCCCCTTCATGTTTGTTGCAGCATGGTCAACACATCAACCCCCTATTTTATTGTGATAAAAATTACTGAATTGGGAAGGACCCTCGCCCCCAACACAAAAGTGTTTTCTGAGTTTTGATTTATAATCAATTTTCAGCTCTTCAAGACCCCGTCCCCTTTAAAAAAAACAAACTATGCATACTGGTGGCATTTTGAGTCGGGGGGGGGGGGGAGCGTGTGTTTGTGTGTGGGAGGGAAGAAGAATAGAATAGAAGCACCTTCGCAGTTTTAATTTATTATCATTTTTTTGTCTCCTCAAGACCCCCCCCCCCCCCCCTCCTTTTTTTTTTTGAAAAAAAAAATATGCTACATGTCTTGTGGCATTGGGGAGGGCGGATGTGGTAGGAGAATAGAATAGAAGCACGGTCAATCACCTGCGACGTTAACTCCCTTCACTAATGTTAAAAGCATTTGATTAAAATTATGATTACAATATTATTTTATAATCTTATTATCAAAATGCTTCCATGGGAAAAAAGCAGATAAAGATTTCGAATTCCAATTGTAGATGGAACCATTATTTAAAGCAAAGTACGAACAGTTACTGGAGAATCTCAATAATAAAGTCAAAACTGGAAAACCGATAGAGTTCAAAGAGTGAGTACAAAGCAGTAACATAGTAACTAAAATCTCATTACACGCAATAACCTAATATAAACACCAAACTTTTCCAAGAGTTGATAGAATGTAATGATATGAAGACTTAAGAGAGAATGTCACGGATCATTAAAATTAAAATTTTAACCTCCTGTTTTCTTTTATTGGTTGTAAAAAGTGTTCATAGTACACAACTTTTACATATATGAAAATGATGTTTGACCAACAAAACTATTATTTTTTCCCTTGCTATGTGTTGCCATGGAAACTACAGTAAGTAAAGAAAAATGGTTACAATTTTAACATTTTTGGAAGAATATTTCAACTAAAAGAATACTGATATCATCTACAACAGACTTTATGCTAATTATTAAAGATATGTAGTATACAAAAAAGTTTAAAAGCAAATCTAAATACCTAGGCATCTGTTACCATGGCAACACAAATATTGTACAGTTTTACAGTTTGAAAAATTGAAAATTATCTCTCAAGTTTAAACTCATATATATAAAATCTACAACAAACTGAGCATTAAAATGAATTTGATTCTTGCACAATACATGTTGATCTTCAAGAATGACATATAAAATTAAGAAGCATTTTTATTGTTTTTGTGGGAAAAAACAAGTAAATTTTATGTTTTTACTCTTTAAAAATGTTAAAAATACACAGCAAATTTTAAGGAAAACTTTCAATTTCTTCCAAATTGACGATTTTTTAATGTATATTTGCTATTATACTCTTGCATTATCAATAAATAAAGTGCTAATATGAGATAAAAATCCTGTAATGTGCCCATAGCAACCAATTTTACTGCATAGCAACCAAGGCATTTTCAAGAGAACGTGTCAAAAAATAAAGAACATGTATTTAAATATAAAAAATTAGATAAACAAGCTTTATTTCACTTAGAAATAATAAAACATACTTAAATTTCAGCATTAATCATATTCTGTGCATAGCAACCAAATGATGTCCATAGCAACAGAGCTGAACAGACATTTTGTTATTTACGAATTATCAAAAACTATTGGAGACACTCCAATGGACTACCATAGTTATGAGAATTCAAACAAATAATCTAGTAGTGTGCATCCCTAAATGCAATATTTATGCAATTTTGGTCTGATACCTTCATTATCTCCGTCAATCAAAATTATGATTGACCAACAGAACTGTTATCTTTCCCCTTATTATGTGTTACCATGGAAACAACAGTAAGATAAGAAAAAACTGCTTCAATTTTAACAATTTTCTAAATATGTTTTAAATTATTAAAGGTATGTAGTATACAAGAAAATATAAACGCAAATCTAAATACCTAGGATCTGTTGCCATGGCAACACAAACTTGTACAGTTTTACAGTTTAAAAATTTGAAAATTACCTCTCTCGTTTAAACTTATATATATCTGATCTGCAACAAGTTGTGCATTAAATTGAAACTGAATAATTCAAAACACAGGCTGATCTACAAGAATGACATATAAAATTGAGAGGCATTTTTATTATTTTTTTGTGGAAAAAAGATTAAATTTTAAGTTTTTACACCAAATAAAGGTTTAAAACACACATCAATTTTTAAGGGAAAAAACCTTCAATTTCTTTCATGTTGATACTATTTCATGTATATTTGCTAATATACTCTTGCAACATCAATAAATAAAGTGATATAATGTTGAAATAATTATGTATTATGCCCTTAGCAACAAATTTTACTGCATAGTAACAATGTATTTTCAAAACACTGACAAAAAAAATGAAGGAGAATATGTATTTATATACAGAAAACAAGATATTTAAGCTTCATCTCACTTATGAATTATAAAAACATATTCAATTTTCCGCATCAGTTATGTAATCTATGTATAGCAACCAAATGAGGTTCACAGCAACAGAGCTGAACAGACATTTTGTAATCCTTGAATTATCAAAAAATGTTGGTAACACTCCAATGAACTATTTATGAAAATTCAAACAAAAGCATGATCAATTTATTTATGAGAATTCTTTTCTCTCTCTTTTTTTTCAGGTTTAACCTTTACATAATTTGTCTTAAATTCATTATTTCTCTTCTTTTAATTGATTAGTCATTCCTCATTCGATGAAAGCTTCATTCCATTATTTTAATTTTCATCTGTTTCTTGATAAAACAATGCCCATGTCACAGCATTCAAAGAAATCATCTCAAACTGTACTTTTCGGAACATAACCAGAGAGACCCATAATGCTAGTGGCTTCTGTCATCTCACTTGTCTCACTCATGTCTGTGTCTTGACTCCCTGGCAATCACAGTCTCTCATGAAAATCTGACTGCTGTGTAAAAACTTAAAAAAATAAAACAATATTACACAAAGTTGTCCAAACTACATTTCCTTAAATGGAGAAAAATTGACAATCTCAAATGATAGTTTATTCCTTTAATCTGAGTAAAATTAAAATATTACCTTGGGTTCAAACTAGCAATTTATGAATTAAAAGAAAAAAAAATTATAAGAAGAGTTCCATAGGTCACATTGCTCACCTAAGCCACTTGTGCAATGCTATTATTTTTTAGAAGTTCTTGAAAAACATTGCAATCTATATTCCCATGAAACATTCATGTAAAATTTGCTTCCAAATTAGGCAGATTTTAGCACCCCCTCCCCCCTTCAACCCAGCTGTATCTACAAGACTTGGGAATTTTGATTTTCTCATGAAATATATTGCACACCATTTATAATTTTGCTTGTTATTGGCACACTAGGATACAATGAGTTCATTTAAGAAATGAATTCAACTTTTGAGAATTCATAAGGACATGGATTAGGACGCTTCACACAATTTATTTTAAGAAGCGTGATTTGAACAAATTTAAATCTACATACCTGAGGATGCTTCCATATAAATATGACTGACCAAGGCCTTGCTGTTTTAGAGAAGATGATTTTTAAAGATTTTTCCTATATATCCCTATGTAAGACTTTGATTGCCCTTGTTGACCCCATCCTACCCCAAAAAGGTCAAGATTTGAACAGAACTGAATTTACACTATGTAGTGAAAGTTTCACATAAGTTTCAACTTATCTGGCCAAGTGGTTCTGTTTTTTTAAAGATGCCACTAAATTGTCACTAGATTTTCTCCATCTTGAAAGATTGTATGGCCTTTCTATGAATAAACTTGGATTTCCTTTACCAAGGGATGCTATGTAACACTTTTCGTTGAAATTTGCCTAGTGGTTCTGGAGAGGAAGTCAAAAAGTTTACAATTGGACAGACAGACGAACACTGAACAAATGTGACCACTTGAGTTTACAGCTCAGGTGAGCTAAAGGGTGCAAATGAAAAAAATAAACAATAATTATTATACATGATAATATTCTTATATTATTGTAAGAACCATCTGTGCCTAATATAACTGATACTGGTTTCAATAGATAATTTCTTCATTTTCTCTATGAAAGTATAAAAAAAAATTATAATTATAGGTTTGACCTTGAAATTATGCCTATTATTATACTGACTTTTCCCTGAATGTCAGATTGTTATGACACAAATCCATTTCACTTGAAAATTGAGAAATATTGGAGAAAATAAAATACATTCAAGCAACATGTTTTTTTTTAATGGACAGAGGGAATTAAAATTCAGTGATCACTATTGGAAGGTTTTACATGCATGGGCATGTACATTATGATGCAGTATTGTACTTTGGAGACATTGATTGTATGGAGTTTTATAAATCTTAGCAATGTCACACTTCTTCAACCATGAAATTAAATATTTTTTCTCAAACCTTGAAAATTTGACCCCTCAAAATTAAAATAATGTATATTTTACAGTATTTCTTTTTTTCTGTTCAGAGACATAAACAATAAATAAATAAATAATGATTTATATTTCTGTTCTTATTTCATAAGTCTTTCTATCTAACAATAAATGACTGCTAATACCAGTGAATAACTGCAAAAGGCTAAAAAAAAAAAAAATTTCTAGATGCTAGCAGCATGCAATTTTTAAATATTCTGTTGAATCTGTAGAGTGAAGAGTACATGAATCTGCACGTAGAGCTACCCTGTATAATTTACATGAAGTTCTGTACTGCTGCCAGCAAGAGGTTTTCTTGGTTTTGTAGAGTAAAAAAGGAAAGAATATAGAAATACATTTATAATATATTCATGCATAATCTTTTATCTGAAAACAAATCAGTTTGACACTGTCATCTTGCAAAATTAATTAATGTATTGCAATTTGCAATTTCCATGTGTAAATCTGATCTACAGACTTTCATAGTAAAAGTAACAGTAAAATGACCTTTGCTGAGGAAACAAGGATCCATCTTATATTGGTAAGCATAGTAATATATCTGAAGGAATGGAATTGAGAAAGTATCTTTTCATACCCCCCTCCCCATCCCCCCTCCCCAATCCTGAAATTGAAAAGATTTTTTCAGGGTTTTTAAACTTTTTTTTCTTGCATTTCAAAATTTTATGTTTGGCACCTGTTAAAGTTAATGTGAAACACCCCACCTCCAATCCATCCACCGCAAAAAAAAAAAAAATCTTTGATCCGCAACCTGAATTTCAATGTGCGTTTTTTTAAATGTATTTATACAAATTAATGTTTCACTTTAAGAACATTTTAAACTTAAATAAATTTAAATAATGATTAAAAAAATCTGTGATTATATTTATAACATGTACATAGATATATTAGGCATTTTAATAACAAATATATAGAGAGAAAATACATATATGTACCAGTTCGATAGGTGTCGGTCTTGATCATGATTGCCCACTGCATCAGCTGTGCGTGATTATTCATGTTACTAAAATATTTGCATCAAATTAATTTAATTGTTTCTGCATACTTCAGCAAAAAGGAAAATTATTTATAAATTGAAGTAATGTGTGTGGCGATTTTTTGGATAATAAACAAAGGAAACTAATTCAATTGTATTTTACATACATTTAGTTACCAGTTTACTGCAAACAGATGAATGGAGAAAATTCGGATAAGAAAGAAAGTGAATTTAGAAATAAATATTTTTTTTTAAATTGTATTACCTTATTTGTCATAAGGCTTTTGTTGTTGACAAGATTCCAAGCTTAGAAATCTTTTTCTCTCTTGAAACAACATGAATTTTCCTTGAGTCAGTGCTCCAGAACATCCAAAGGTTGCCGACATTTTTTGTTTCTGTCACAGAAGAGCTTCCAAGGGAGGTAATTCATGACAATAAAAGATGGGAAAAGTACCCATCAGTATGATAAAAAATCCTTTCAATTTAAGTCCACTTAAGAATGCTTCTCAATTTTAATTTTGATATAAACAGTAATAATGTTCACCTTTTTGAGAATAGCATGAGATATTTATTTTCTTGTTGTAGATTTGAGAATTCAGTCACCGAAAAAGGGTCAAAAATAGGCTAAGTGCATGTAGAAAAACTTATAGAAATTTGAAAGTTTTTGTTCACATGCAGACAAAATATAAAAATACTAGTTTTTTAAAAATAGTGTTAATCGGTTTTATTAATATTTATTGATTTTTTTATTTGTTGTACTATGCATAAGTACTGAAAATAGACTGAATCTGAATTTTTCTAAAGCGTGTATGTTACTTACTTTGATATATGGTTACCATGGAAACGATTTGGCTGATCAAAAAATTGTAAAATTGTAAAATTTTACCACAAATGATAAAACTTTTAAAGAAGTTTATTAACGCAAAAATCCTGAAATTTTTAAAATTTATAGTTTCCATCAATTACACTAAGTAAACTTGATGATTCATGACATTCTCTCTTAAGTGTATATACGTCAATATAAATATAGCAACATACATTTGATCGAGGTTTATTTTCTGAAGGGTATTCGGTGCCTACACACTAGATGTTATAGCCTCGACTGGATTTGGTGTCGACATCGATTCGCAGAAAAATCCCGAGAGTGATTTTGTCAGACATGCCAAAACATTCTTCAATGTTACATTCAGTCCACTGTTGTTATTAATTTGTAAGTAAGATATATTATTAGTTCAATACAAGGGCATTATTCAATAAAAGCGAATAACCATATTTTTAGATAGAAAAAACTCATGAAACATTTGTAGAAATGATTATTTACATCAAATTGTCTGGATTTCTCCAAATGTATTTGAATACTATAATTTTATTTTTAGTGATGTTTCCAAAATTTGATGCTGTCTTGGACTGGTTTGGGAAGTCCCCTTTGAATCAAATTGAACCTATGGCTTTCTTCAGAAATGTTACCAACCAAGCCATTGGTCTCCGAGAAGATGACAACGAGGTACACGTAACATTTAATACACTCATTTTTTCTTAAACTAGACTGATTGTTTATTTTATTGTTAAAGTTTAACACCCCTCTATCCTCTCAAGTAATATTTTGCTTTAATGTTAATGATTTACTAAAAAAAACAACTCTGAATAATAATTGAAATGCAAACTATTTCAGCAAACCATGCGTTGCAACATTTGACGGATATCGCTTTTAACTTGACAGCTTAAGAAGAACAATAGTCTTTAATCCCATTGAGAGTTATCTCTCTTTGTCAGGGGGTCAGTGAACCTTAAGGATGCAAAACATGTGTAATAACTCCTATATAGTATATCAGAATATAAAAATACTGTCTTTATCTTGGTAGAAACGCAAAGACCTGCTGCAGATGATGTTAAATGCGCACCATGATATTGACGTCAACGATAATGAAGTAAAACAGAATTACGAAGACGCTGAAAAATGGAAGACAAGAGGTAAGCAATAGAACCAGTCCATTTAGCTGCAGAGCTGTTACTCTCTGGGACAGAAAATTCGGACAAATATTCCTTAGAAAGATTCAATATTGTTAAAATTAACCTCCTCCCCTATGGTAAGCTATCTCTGGTATGTCTTTCCAAATTTTCTCTCCAGTTCAGTTACAACTGTGCAGTTACAGTCCATTGAAATAAAACTTTAGTCAATGATGCTTATTCTATTCAAGAGATATACATGTAAATGAAAAGAACAATTAATCTTTAGGATTAATACTTTGATAACAGAGTAAGAGGATGTTTTTGAACACCAAAGAAGAACAAGAAAGTTTATTAGATAAAACATATAGCCGGAAACGTGCATGGTCAGATTAACCATGGGTTTTCGACGATGTAGATAAAATTGAGGGGTGAAAAGTTGTTGCGATCGATAAAACCAATTTATCAATTTCCAGGATTATCGATGGAGGAAGTTCTGGGAAATTCGATTCTGTTCATGTTGGTCGGGTATGACACCACCTCTAATGCTCTCACTTTTGCCTCGTATAATCTCGCCACAAATCCGGAATGTCAAGAAAAACTGATTGACGAGATCGACACCGTTCTTGGGAAGGTTAGCTGACTATGTTTCTTTACATTAATTAAAAACAAATATTTATGTTTATTAATACCATATCTACAAAGCTTAATGCTCTACATGATTTCATAAATATAAGTATCAATCGATCTTATCATCATTTATATTTCATGTAAATGGAAAAACCGTAGAAATTTATTAGTTTTCAAAGTCAGGGTGGGGATGGGATGGAGTGCAGCCAGAAAAAGTTAAAAACTACGACAAGGAAAAAAATAATATTGCACAAACTCGACAAACTATAATTAAGGAGAAAATCTATGGGAGGGGGATTATGTTTTCAACAAAAAGTGGGGGTCATGGAAATTAATAGCAAAAGTATTCTAGGGAAGAAGTCCCAACTATCCCCTCCCCCGATACTAGGTGCCTGTAATGTCAGTTAAATTCTGGATGATATAAAATAATTTTTGGAATTAAAGTTTAACATCAATAAAAACCTAAAGTCACTTTAAATTTTGAAATCAAAGGAAGCTGTTTTCCATCATGTCCAAGTGATTTTAACTTTAAAAAAGAGGCTCATGAGCCACATTGATCATCTGAACACTTCGTCTACGATAAAATCTTAACTGTTTCAACCTGGGAAGGGGGATGATTTGAACAAAGTTGCATCTGCACTACCTCAGGATGCACTTGTATTAATATCACTCATCATGGCTTTGCTGTTCTTTTATTCCTCTATATTCCAGTGTATAACTTTGACCCCCTATTGTGGCCTCCTAACCCCCCTCCCCCCTCCAGGTCATGATTTGAACAAACTTGAATCTATACTACCTAATGTTTGCTTTTATATTAATATGACTAATCAAAGCTTTGGTGTTCTTGAGATGATGATTTTTCAAGATTTTTCCTATAAATTTCTAATACTATATAAAACTTTGATTACCCTGCCCTACCCCTGGGGGTCATGAATTAAACAATCTTGAATCTTCACTACCCGAAGATGCTTTGATCCACATTAATATGACCAATTATGGCTTTGCTGTTCTTGAGAAGAAGATTTTTTTTTTTTTTAAATTCCCATATATTCCTGAGTATAACTTTTATTGCACATTGTGGCCACACCCCACAGGCACTTGAGGTTTTAAATCTTTCTCTTTATTGATAAAAATATCCCATTACTATAATAATAACAACAGTATTGGGATATTTTTATCAATAAAGAGAAAGATTTAAAACGTCAAGTGCCTGTGCCACACCCTACCCCATGGGATCATGATTTAAATAAACTTGAATCTACACATGTCAGAAAGCTTTCACATAAGTTTCATCTTTTCTCAAGTGATTCTTAAGAAGAAAATTTCAAATGACCTCACACAAGTTTCATTATTTCTTAATTATCTCCCCCTTGGAAGAGGGTGTGACCCTTCATTTGAACAAACTTGAGTCCCCTGTACCCAAGAATACTCTGGTTGAAACTGGATATTGTAAAAAATTTACAACAACGACAAACGACAGATTACGGACAAATTTTGATCAGAAAAGCTCACTCTAGCCTTCGGCTCAGACATACAAACATCCTCACAGTATTATATGGATATAAAATGGTATATATAACTACTATGACATTTACTTGAATATTTTTCTTTTTATGCCCCCGTATCGAAGATTCGGGGGTATATAGTTTTTGCCCTGTCCGTCCGTCTATCTCTTTGCCTGTTTGTCCGCAAAAACTTTAACCCTTCCCATAACTTTTGATTGGTTGGAGCTATGGATTTCATATTTCACATGTGTATTTTTTGTGGCAAGACCTTTCTTTGGGTACCACCATATTTGACCTTTTGACCTTGGAGTTTGACCCAGGTTTGCAAAATTTTACCCAACATTAACCTTGGCCATAACTTTTGAACAATTGGGGCTAGGGCTTTCATACTTCACATGTGTAATCCTTGTGACCAGACGTTCCTTCGTATACAAACATCTTGGACCTTTTGACCTTGACCTAGGAGTCTGACCTACTTTGAAAAACTTGAACCTTGGTCATAACTTTTGAACGATTGGTGCTTCAGCTTTCATATTTCACCTGTGTATTTCTTGGGAGAAGGCCTTTCCTTGGGCACCATTAATTTTGACCATTTGAGCTTGACCTTGATGTTTGACATACTTTTGAAAAAAAACTTTAACCTTTTCCATATCTATTCAATGGTTGCTGCTAGGGCTTTCATATTTCACGGATATATTCCTTGAGACAAAACCTTACTTTGGGTAACAACATATTTGATTTGCATTTGAGAAAGTTTAACCTTTGCTTTAATTGCCATACGGGGGCATCAGTGTTTCACAAACACATCTTGTTTTAATATTAATTATTGGTTTTGTTTATGTCCAATTACTTGGCCTGTATTATGTCATTACAATAACATTATTTTAACATCATGTAATTATTTACCTGTATCTGGACGTTGACAGGAGTGTCCTGATTATGACAATGTACAGAAACTGGACTACCTGGACAGAGTGTTCTGTGAGACACTGAGACTGTACCCCTCAGCTGCCAGGTATCACAATATAGATTCATCATTACTAATATCAATACATACAGGTTGTATTAAATTTCTTTATTATGTGTAGTAGAGACAAGACACATTAAAAACAATATCGAGTTAGGGAGAGGGTATTCTTTGATACTTCATTATTTATTTCAACGGAAATTTGTGAGAAAATGGGGAGGGGGGCATTTATTTTTACTCTTTCTAAACTTAGCACATACTTTTGCATTACAGAACTAACCGACTTGCTGAGAAGGACATCGTTATTGAGAATTACACAATTCCCAAGGGCACCGATATTTCTTTCCCCATATACAGCATACACAGGGACCCCAAGTACTGGGAGGATCCCGAGAAATTTGACCCAGACAGGTGAGGAAACAGGTCTATATGAAAACCAATCTTTTATAATTCGATGTCGACGAATTTAAAAATAAATGATGAATTGAATAAACAAGAGGCCCAAGGGCCATAACGGTCACTTGCGTATAATACCACAATTTAGAGCATCCAAGTATAACCTGAAACTGATAGATGAAGCTGTGTTACCTAAGAGAAAGAGAAATAAGATTATCAGGATCAACGAAATACTTAGTCTTGTACTCATACGTTCTACTTGCCCACATTTATCACTACCACCGAGCAAACTATTATCAAAATAATAGTCCTTCAATACTGTATTTGTTACCCGCGTGGCGCAGTGGTTAGAGCGTTCGCTCTAAAGTCGCGGAGTAAGAAGTTGATCCTTACGTAGCGGGTTCGAATCCCACTGTGGAACGTGGAGACCGGTCCTTCGGATGAGATCCTATAAACCGAGGTCCCGTGTCGCAGTGGGTGCTGGCACAAAAAAGATCCCTCACCACTCAATGGCCCTATGTGCCGAGTATAGGTAAAAAAAATTTGCAGCTCTCCACCGGCAAGTGGTGGCATCCCAATATGAGTGAAAATTATCGATTGGGACGTTAAACAATAAACAAAAAATACTTTATTTAATCCCATATTTTTACCTCTCAGTTGACCTCTTTTGGTCTTTGAAAAACAATTAATAAAATGAGTTATTTTTGTCTCCTTTTTTTAGCTCACCTGAGCCGAAGGCTCAAGTGAGCTTTTCTGATCACATTTTGTCCGTCGTCCGTCTGTCCGTCTGTCTGTCTGTCCGCCCGTCCGTCCGTCTGTAAACTTTTCACATTTTCGACTTCTTCTCCAGAACCACTCGGCCAATTTCAACCAAACTTGCCACAAAGCATCTTTGGGTTAAGGGGATTCAAGTTTGTTCAAATGAAGGGTTACACCCTCTTTCAAGGGGAGATAATTAAGAATTAGTAAAAATTTGGTGGTATCTTTTAAAAATCTTCTTCTCAAGAACCACTGGGCTGTAAAAGTTGAAACTTATGTGAGACCTTCATTACATAGTGTAAATTTAAGTTTGTTCAAATCATGACCCCCCGGGGTAGGGTGGGGCCACATGGGGGATCAAATTTTTACATAGGAATATAAAGGAATAAATCTTTAAAAACCTTCTTCTCTAGAACAACAAAGCAACAATTAGCCATATTGATATGGAATCATCCTCAGGTAGTGCAGATTCAATTTTGTTCAAATCATGACCCCCGGGGGTAGGGTGGGGTCACAATGGGGGATCAAAGTTTTACATAGAAATATATAGGAAAAACCTTGAAATTGTTTTTCTCAAAAACAACAAAGCCACAATTAGTCATATTGATAAGGAATCATCTTCAGGTAGTGTAGATTCAAGGTTGTACAAATCATGACCCCCGGGAGGGGGGGTAAGGGGGATCAAAATTTTACATAGGAATTTATAGAAAAAAATCTTTAAAAATCTTTTTCTCAAGAACAACAAAGCCACAATTAGTCATATTGATAAGGAATCATCCTCAGGTAGTGTAGATTAAAGTTTGTACAAATCATGATTCCCAGGGGTAGGGTGGGGCCACAATGGGGGATCAAAGTTTTACATAGAAATATATAGAAAAAAATCTTTAAAAATCTTCTTCTCAAGAACAACGAAGTCACAATTAGTCATATTGATGTGGATTCATCCTCAGGTAGTGTAGATTCAAGTTTGTATCCAGTCATGACCCCTGGGGGTAGGGTGGGGCCACAATGGGCGATCGAAGTTTTACATAGGAATATACAGAAAAAAAACTTGATAAATCTTCTTCTCAAGAACAGCAAAGCCTTGTTAAGTCATATTGATATGGAAGCATTCTCAGATAGTGTAGATTTAACCTTGTTCGAATCATGACCCACAGGGTTAGGGTTGGGCCACAATGGGGGATAAAAGTTTTACATTGGAGTATATAGGAAAAAACTTTAAAAATCTTCTTCTCAAGAACAGCAAAGTCATGTTTTGTCATATTGATATGGAAGCATCCTCAGTTAGTGTAGATTCAAGTTTGTTCAAATCATGATCCCTGGGGGTAGGGTGGGGCCACAATGAGGGATCATAGTTTTACATAGGAATATATAGGGGGAAAAACTTGAAAAATCTTCTCAAGAACAGCAAAGCCATGTTTTGTCATATTGATGTGGAAGCATCTTCAGGTAGTGTAGATTCAAGCTTGTTCAAATCATAACCCCCAGGGGTAGGGTGGGGCCACAATGTGGGATCAAATTTTCACATAGGAATATATAGGAAAAAATCTTTTCAACAACAGAAAAGCCATGTTTAGTCATATTGATATGGAAGAATCCTCAGGTAGTATAGATTCAAGTTTGTTCAAGGGGGGGGGGGGAGGGAGGGTCCACAATGGGTGATCAAATTCTTAACAAGGGAATATATAGGAAAAAAATCTTTAAAAATCTTCTGCTCAAGAACAGCAAAGCCATTTGTTATATTGATATGGAATCATCCTCAGGTAGTTCAAAATCCAAGCCCCCCCCTTTTAAACTTTTCAATACTGAAGTGATTTGTGCTTTTTCCTAGCCATTGTGCTCAGGTGAGCGATGTGGCCCACGGACCTCTTGTTTACTATTATTTAAGTCTACCTTATCATTAAAAACTATGAAAGTACTCTTTGTATGGGGAAAATATGCATGGATTTTACAACTGTGGTAGAGGGCTTAATAATTATTACAATCATGACAATCTGACTGTTTGATGTCCAGGAGTAAAGAAGAAGAATTTTTAAAGATAGAACTAATTTTTTTTTCTGTTTTAATCCCACTCCTAAGGCCCCAGGGGGCAAGGACCATGGAATTCACAATTTTGTTCCCCTTTACTCATAGATGCAATATGCCAAAGATGGTTAAAATCGGTTCAACAGTTCAAGAAAAGAACCCGATAATATTAAAATGTTAACGCAAGATGGACGACATATGTCCTCGCCGACGGACGAAAACAGATACAATAGGTCAACTGAGTGCATGATTCATGTGACCTAAAAAGTGGAAAAAGAGCTAGCTTCACTTAATGCATAAAATGGCACTGTCCTTATACCAATTAATTGACAATCACCCTAGCCTTTGTCTATGCAAAATAAAGTAGAGGCTTTGTGCATTCGTTTCCCATAACAAAGTTTCTTTTGAGGGTCCAGATATTGGAAAACAGGCTTTGTGAAATTGCAATGATCTTGAATTTTGTAGAAAACGGGTATATTTGAGTACCTTCAGCAAATAATTAAAAATGAGCATACTCCTTGATCCAAAAAATAAAACATCTTATAATCTTCAGAAATAGATCTTTCATTTATAATTGCATATTTTTGATCAGAGGTCGTGGTCTTTGTTAAGTATTGAAAAATACTTAAACTTATGGCCATTTTTAAAGGAATTTTCAGGAGATAGAAAAAATACCCATTTCGTGATGTCATAATGCATTGACTAAAGGGAAAATTACGTCAATTACAATAAATAAACAGCCCCCATGAGTGATATTTGATACAATGTCAGCCAAAACTTAACAGTTTTGGTTTTTAGAAATTCACAGGGCTGAAAAGGTCCTAAATGAACCTTGCTCCTACCCTCGAATGAATTTTATTTTGAATACAGCCTTGAAATATTTTAATACCCCTGCAAACGAAGTTTGAAGGGCAAATAGGAATCTTTTTGTCCGTCTATCCCTGCAATTGTACTTGATACAAAGACTGCTTATGTCTTTAGGATGTATTTTGACCTTGTAACAAGTTCAAAGTCACTGGCAAAAAAGTGCATAATTCATGCCAGGACCATAGCTCTATAGCAAAGAAACATTGGAAGTTGATAATTGAGGCAAAGATTGCTTATGATTTAAGATTCTGTCATGATCTTGATCTAAGGTCATTTGGGCAAGCCCAATGTCAGTTGCAGAAAGACTTCAAAGATTACATGTAAGCTTAGGGTATTCCATAATTTTGACCTAACATCAATTTGGCAAGGTCAAGGTCACTAGCAGAGAGTAAAATTCATGTCCGGTCCATAGTTTTCTAATAAAGAAACATTGCAAGTTCACACAAAGAAGGTATTTCATTTTCATGAAACCAGGTCATTTTGGCAAGCTTTGAAAAAAATGTAGTTGGGCACCTAAAAAAAATTAGGAACGGGAGATTTAATTTTGCGAGCTTGCTCAAAGTACTCAAGTTATACTAAATCATAAGTATCAAAGCAAATAATTTTTATTCCAAATTACAGCTGCTTAATACATTGATTGTAAATGCTACGTATATATGCAGTAGTTTTTCATGATTCTGCAAAAACATTTAAGTTTTTCAAACATGAATTTTAATCTAATTTTTTTCAAGGTTTACTCCGGAAAACAAAGCTAAGAGACATTCTTATGCCTATCTCCCGTTTGGACATGGACCGCGCAGCTGCATAGGCATGCGCCTCGCCCAGGTGGAGATGAAGTTTGCAATGACCTACATTCTTCAACATTACAGATTCAAAACTTGTGCGGAAACAGAGGTAGAGACTTTATATACAATGGTCTATCATGAATATGGATTCAATTCCAACCAAAAAAAAAAAAATTACAATCTTTATTGTCTTGCATCAGAGACATATATATATATATATATATATATATATATATATATATATATATATATATATATATATATATATATATATATATATATATAAATCTATGTCTCTGCTTGCATTATATGCTGACAGTAATGTAGCTTGGGAGGTTTATTCTTTGTCGAAAACATTTTTTACGGGTGGAAATTTTCTTTAGGTGTGTACAATTTGCATGTATATGTACAGTGTAATATATCAATTAAAGTGTTCATACTCTCTTAAACCCTTTTCTAACGAACAAATTTTAACAATTAAGTCAAATTTAATTCTGATATTAATTATCACTTTTCAGATTCCACTGACGATATCTAAAGCAGGACTACTAAAGCCAGAAAATGGTGTCAAACTACTGCTGGAACCCAGAGCTTGAACATCAGAAACGTTCATATTCATACAGTAAATAGCAAACATAAGTGTGTCTTAAAACGGATAAAAGTATATCTTGTATACTTTACAATACTAGTACATGTATCATATAAATAGAACATTCCTTTTTAGCAACATAAAATGATGCTGTATTTTTTCTAAGTATTTTGAATGTTTAGTATTCAAACTATATAGCCAAAGGTTCCTATGAAGATAATAAAAATGTGAAAAGTTTAACATTATTATATAGTTTTATACTTTAATATACTTATATGTAGCATAGTGATGAAAAAAAGAAACCTAAACTTGAATATGTTTTCTTTACATTGGTACAACATTAAAATAAAGTTTGATGTCATATCGTCAGTATTGTTATTACTCTAGAAACTTTCAATATCAACACATATAAAATAAACTTTCATGGAAAGGAATTTTCATCATCATTTTTCTTTTGACAAATAATTCAAACTTTGTTAAACTCAATAAAAATATTATATAAATCAAAGTCAATGGACTATGATGACAGTTTGAAAATTTACTGGGAGGTAGATGGCGATCATTACTGTCATTCACGTCCTTTCTTATCTTTAACTTCTTTCATTTCTTTTGTTGAAAGCGTATTCTATTCGTGTTCAATGAAACTGTGATGGTTTGACATTGCAGCATCCACAAAGGAAGTAAATAGTTAAATACCTTAATTCTTTGAAAATCTTTTATTTTGCTCCTGGGTATTTAGCAGATAAACTAAGTACATGGTTATGATAAACAAGGGTGCCTCTTTCAAAATTTTAAAATTTATGGACCTTGAGTCAGGGGTTCTGGTGTTAGGGCGGGGATCTATTGATCATTTACTGAAAATGTATGATTTCTTTAAAAGGTCTTCTTCTCTACCCCTGGGTATTTAGCAGACAAACTAATTACATGGTCATTTTGAAAAAGGATTCAGACTTGTCAAAAACCTTTCAAAGTATTTCCACAATGAGGAGTCCAAGGAAAGCACAGAATTTTCAAAGTAGAAAAATTATCAATATTTTAAATTTTAAAAGTCTTTTATTAGTGCATTTTCTATTTAAAATTAAATAATTCATATACGTCCTTATCTCTCACATTCCCATGTCGGGGGAGGGGGTACCTCTTGTGAACCCTTTTTAGAAAATCATAAATGAATAAATCAATAAAAGTTTACGGAGGGGGACTTTAATTTATACTACCCCAGGAGGCTTCCATATCAATATTACTAATCATGGCTTTGCTGTTCTTGAGCAGAAGAATTTTTAAAGAATTTTTCCGTATGTATATGTATTCCTATGTAAAACTCTGATCGCTCATTGTGGCCTCACTCTACCCACCCTAAATTTGAACAAATTTGAATGTACGCTACCTCAAGATGATTCCTATGTAAAATTGTGACCCTCTGATGTGCCCCAAACCCTTGGGGGTCATAATTTGAACACGCTTGATTCTACAATACTTAAGGTTGCTTCTGTATAGATATAACTAATTATGGCTTAGTTGTTTTTGAGAAGAAAATTTTTAAAGATATTTCTTATGTAAATGTACGATCAGGTTCTTACAAGGGTATATAGGTTTTTCCCCTTACTCTGAGTTAATGGTTGGAATGATTATTAAGACAGCTCTGTCTGAGGGTAAAACACACAGTATTGATTTTTTTCTCTTATCTTGAGACGAAGACTGGGGACTGTACTACTTGCACCGTGTTTCTCTCCTAGCTTCCTATCGATAGATAAGAACCTGGTGTCCAATCTTCTTCAGATTTACTGCATCCAGATCTTAATATCAATTCCCTAGGATACTTGCCACTGGTGCTCATTTTATACTTTTATTCTTTTATTTTGCTCTTACCCTAAACTTCTTTATTACCGCTCCAACGACCAACTTCTTCAGCTAGCTTCTGAATTCCTGATTTTCCCAAAACTTTGCGTTATATACCATTTGGCTAGTCCATTTTAAGAGTTGTCAGGTCATTCCAATATATGAAGTATTCAATGCGTTTAACCATTACACCTTAATATTCCCGTGTAAAACTTTGACCCACGGTTGTGGCCCCGTTCCTTCTCCAGGGGTCATGATTTGAATAACTGATCTACACTATCTGAGGATACTTCGATATAAATATAACTAATAATGGTTAAACTGTTCTTGAGACGAATTTTTTTAAAAGATATTTCCTATATATTCCTATGTGAACTTTGGTCCCCTGTTGTGGCCCTGCCCTACTCCCAAGGGTCATGATTGGAACAAACTTGAACCTACAATACCTCTATAATAATGTGACTAATCATGGATTTGCTGTTCTTGAGAAGAAGATTTTTAATGACATTTCCTGTATATTCCTCTGAAAAACTTTGACCGCCTCTTGTGGCCCCGCCCTACTCCCTGGTGTTATTATATGAACATAATTGAATCTAGTGTATGTAATGAACCTTTCACATAAGTTTCATCTTTTCCTGTCCAGTGGTTCTTGAGAAGAAAATTTTTAAAAAGATGCCACCAAATTTTCATGAATTCAGGAGTCAGAAGTACAACAAAATTCTTTTGTAGTTATTAATGAACTATATCTATCATATAATAGTAAATTGCAGAAATGTTTGATACTGTTAGTAGTTGAATTCATGATGTCTATCTACACTATCAACAAATTTCAGACAATTGTGGACATTTTACTATCAATTTACAACATAGTTTTTTTTAAATCACTAAATATGTTTTTAAATATATATTACAAAAGCAAAAAACTATATTTTGACGTCAAGAAAGTATGAAAAACTTGCCGTAAATGATAAAAATATATAAAATCATTGAAGTGCTTGGAAAACTTTGAATAAGTTATTGTGTGTTATAATTTTGAAAGCGATGTTTCTTAAACAAAAAAGAATCCCTATCAGCTGTCAGGAGTGCAACAAAATATGGTTAAATAGGATCACTTTAAAATCTATATTTTTTTTTTAAAGAAAGCATATATTTTTTTTTGGGCTTAGATTTGAAAAATTGACCAAATAGACCAAAAAAAAGGGGGGGGATTTATTGTATCATATTTCTTTCATATTAAAACTTTACAGACCAAAATTCAGATAATTAATGTAGAATAACAATAAAAAGCCAAATTTTTCAAATACACGAGAGAAAAAAAAATCAGTCAAGCTTTAGATGTAATCATTTATATCCTTGACACAAGTCTGAAGGCTAAAAATTATAATTTCTTTTGAATATGTATTTTTAAAAAGTCTTTTAGGATGTAGCAATATTTTTTCTTATTACAAATGAAATTACATACATACTCTGAATTTTTTTTTATGGAATTGTCTATTCTATTGTCACTTAAGAAATTTTTAACTAAAATGTAATTAAAGTATGAGGACAACATGTTATGTGAAACTGAATTTATGAAAAAAAAAAATCAGTATGCCGTTGATCATTTCTTTTCCCAAATTCCGCCTGTTATTAAAATTGATCAACTTGAAAACCTAAAATGAATATAAGTTTACCTAAAAATGTTCATAGAAATCACATAGGTATCCTCCTTGAATGACAAAATCAAAAGTGTTGCATATTACTGCATGTGAGATGATCATCTTACATTGTGATTTTATTTCAATATCTTTTAATTAAGATTATATCCTGGGATATGCAGCTATTGACCAATCAAATTGTAATCTCTAAAATTCTGGTCACTCATCACCCTACCACGTATCTTCCAGGATAGAAGTGAGTACAACTTTGTGAGTAACCCTATTCTGCCCTTCCTCCGCAATTTTTTGTAAAGTTAATATTGGTAAGCGTTTTTATACCCATTCGCACAATATTTCTGTCAAGTCTTATAAAATTTTTCAATTATCAGAAATTAGTATTGTCTCCATTTACAAAATTCGTTTATTTCTAATATTTATATTATGTGCCTGTTAAAATTATTTGACATTATTTATAATACATTTCAGAATTTCACTTGAGTCAACGAGTATGTTTTGATTGAAGATCAGGATCCTGAATTACAGATTTTATCTCTTATTGGTTGTGTTTCAGGTTCATGTTTTTTTTTTTAAATATCTTTTACAAAATGGAAGCGCAATATAATTATTGTTGCATCAACAGTGTATCAAACAGAAGTCAATTTGCCATAGATCGTCGAAACCAGTAAATGTACATCTACATGTAAAAATATGTATCGTATCTTGTTATCACATGAATTAATTATTTGATTATATAAAATTTCCATTAATTTTGAGGATATAAAGAATATATTACCATATCTTATTGAATTAATATACTAGTAATTATTATGATATAACATCTTTAAGACTTTTTAATGTTTAACATCATATTGAATGTGATGTTTATTTCTCATTTTGACAAAAAATTGTACTTTTTCAAACGTAAAATATTCTTAAATCATGTGCTTAACAAAGAGTATTAATATCCATTGAATATTTTCTCTTCCATTTCTTGATAATACATTGAAATACATTATTCCACCCACTTTCGCCACTTTTATTGAATAATTTATACAAATAAAGTATTTGTTTCTTTATACAAAGATGAACAACTGCAATCACTGAAAAAACAAACAAAAAACAATGCAAAAACACAAAAAATAACCTTTTACCGCAAACTACATGTAGGTATTTTTGGCAAAGTTATCAACTTTTCATCCAAGTACAGTAAAAGTTGCAAGGGACTAGCAATCTTGATCTGTTATAAATATTATTCATTATATATCACAGGTCGTATTTTGATTGACATATTTTATACCAAATGATAACTTTTTGCTTGTATAATAAATGACTGCAGAATATTCATTCCACCTGATCAATACATAGGGCTGAAAGCAGACGTGACCAGTCGACACTTCAATAAAAAGAAACATACACGTTTATGAGGATGTGTTCATCAGGTATAATATCATAGGTACAAATTTTTTCTTTCTTAAAATTAAGTTGCAATCTGACAGATTACTCAGTACAATAAAGCAATCGTTCTCTAAACGATCGTCAATAAAAACTACATGTTGTATCCTTCATTTTTTCATCAAAACTGTCTTTTAGAAATAAATAAATAATTAAAGAAATAAAGATATATATATATATATATATATATATATATATATATATATATATATATATATATATATATATATATATATATATATATATATATATATATATATATATATATATATATATATATTGATCAGATCAGGAACTTTTTTATGAAGTTTAAATTTCTTTTAAAAATAGAACAATTAAATACAGTTAAGATAAACTTAATCAATTTAAATGTGATCTTCCACAACACTGATATCTTGTTAAAAGATAAAATAACAATTTTCCATACGGATATTATCTTTTTCT